TTTATTATTAATTATTAATTATTTTAAAATCATTAATTATTTTTAATTATTTATTTCAACCAATGAGTTTTCTCACTTTCACCCTTCTGATTCGCTCCCCCATCGCACTGGATGGGGAAGTGAACCACCAGGTGTGTGGTGCTTAGCTGACTACCAGGGTTAAACCACAACAGAACATTTCTCACCGTTCCTGCCCAGCAGTGTCCCAGAGTTGCAAGGCTACCTGGGTATTATCTACTGTGATGGTTTTCACATTGTAATCCACACCTATAATAGAAATACAAGGTAGGTTGTCTCTTTATATGCCCAGTTTGATCTTTGAACACCTGATCCAGCAAATAGCAACAATTCCAGAAAGGTAACAAGATAGACAGTACATTAAAAATTATGTCCATAGTCTTTAACTATCAGAGAACAAGAGCTTTTATTTGCCAGAAGTTCTTCAGTACTAAAACACCAAATGTTAACATAGTAGTTGAATTTTGTAAAAGCTGTAAGATAAGTAACTTTCCAAATCAGGATACATGAGTCAAGGGTCCATTTGACAGTCCACAGCAGCCTAGGCCATTTATCCTGGAATTCATGCTGTGTAACTTCAGTTCTCTGAAATGTCAGCACTTAGTCTGAGCTAGCCACATTCTACAGGTAGTGGAAAAACACAAGGCAGCACACTAAGGACAGTGGAGCCTAAGATAAATGCTGAAGATAGATGGACTGAATATGTAGAGAACCTCCTCCCCTCTTCCGAATATAGAAGATGAGCTGACTACAGTTAGGTTAGTCCCCTAATTTTTATGTAGCTAAATGAAAGTGAGAAAAAAATTTATTTATTTAAACTTTTAAATGAATCCTCTCTCAATTCCCCTAACCTGTGATAAGTGTCTTCTGGATATTTACAACAACAATTAGAGTCTTAAATATTAATCAGTCACTGCCACCTCCTAATGACAACCTGCATTTTCTTGTATCACACTGTACTGTATCATAGAATCACAGAATCCTAGAGTAATTCAGGTTGGAAGGGACCTCGGTAGATCATCAACAAGTTCTTTGGGGCCATTTTCCACATCAATGGGATTTTTACCACTGGCATTACTGAAGAAGCATCCAAGCCCGTGTTCCTTCAATGGGCAATTAAGAAATCTGGATGGAGGATATATCCACTGCTTATATCTTAAGGGAAGAAATTTGAGCTATTCTGGAGAAATTCAATGAGAACACTCTTCTCCAGGTTGTTCACTTGCCTTTTCAACTGTCTGTATCTTGCCAGCTATAGTCAACACCCATAAAACTCATTGATATGAAGACTAAATCAACGCTATGACAAATACTTTCTTGCCATTGCATTTGCAGGAACACTGGATGACCAGCCAAAAGATGAAAATGTCAGGCGCATTCCTGTGGTTTTCCTCTGGAAGCTCCAGACAATTACACACACTGTGTAAGACCTCAGAGTCTAGAGAAGTGTATCAGCCATTTACAAAACAACATGAATGGGACATAGCACCAGACTCTTCAATGTAGACAACTGCATATAGGTGTCTAAGTTCCCATTACAGTTAATGAATATCTAGTCAATGAAGAACCAGGAGTCTAGGAAATGACTAAGCTCACCCCACAGCATCAAGGGTCAGATTAACTGGTCCCTAGGGTCCTCTGACTGGATTGATTTGGAGAGGATGGCATAGAAGAATTCAGCTGTTTGTTCACAGGCACCCAGTGCTATCTGAGACGCCATTCGGTATTCAAAATGTCTGTTTCAAACTGGCAGGATACCCAGGAGACCTGCTCCCTTCCAAACCAGCAGCTGAAGGCCAGGTGAAACACCTTATCGTGCCAAAATGAATTTAAATCCCTATGCTAAGATCTTAGATCCTCCCTGACTCTAATGTAAACTTAGACACTCAACATACCAGTAGAAATTTAAACTCAGGTGTCTTTATCTACCCCGTAAGTCAAGGGAGTTACAGCAACTGCTCACTTGAATGTTCCTAGATTGTCACAGATGCAAGACAAATCTGTTAATTTAAATACCTTTTATTGTGAACAAGCTTTATTTCATATAAGCTGCAGAATAAGTAAGGCCTAAATACAGACTAAGCATAATGAATCTGGTCATTTACACTAACTCAGCTGCATTGCAATAACCTACACTTAAGTTTTTGTACCTTGATTATGTGTCTGACTTTTGAAAGTTTGGCTTACAACTTCAGGCAATGTAATTACAACATAGGCATTGAAATGTGTGTCTTTGAAAACACTAGTCCAACATATTTCTTTGGTGCTTAGTATAATGCTAAATCTTCAAACACAATTCAGATATTCTACTTTCTCTTTAAAACAAATCAGATTACTTAGAGGGATAGGGATAGGGTATGGAGGTGGGATGGTTAGTACAGTGCAGTCCAGAGGACAGGATATCAGTTTCAGAACAGTGAGATCTACAAGGAAATTCTACCTTCACTGAAATCAATAGGATTTTTCTGATTTAATTCAGTGCTACCAGGATTTCAGTACAGAATCTACTCTGAAACCTCTCCATCAATTATCTGCTTCCCAGTTTAGGAGAACTCACTTTGCATGTCCTACTCTCCTTTTGGATAATGGCTTTTACAACATCTGTATGTTTCTATTTTATAACACAGGGCCTAATCTCAGTAGAAGCTGCTAAGTACTGTTGGAACAAAAATAAAAATAGTAATAATGTTTCTTAAACTTACCTACAGTAGCAGCTGTGCCTGGGAAAAAACGATCTTCACAAAATCGCCTTAAGAATGAAGTCTTTCCAACACTCGAATTGCCCACAAAAATAATCTTGAATAAGCGGTCTGGGACAGAGTTTATTCTCTCCTCCTTCAAGTAAGAGCAAACATTAGTCTCCAACTGTTCTATAAATCCTGTTGCCTCTCCAATTTGCCTTGTCTTGAAGGCTAACTGAGATGGGAAAAAGAAGAGATTTTATCCTATCATGTTCTGCATTACTCATAAAGCAATATTCTATTTCTTAAAATAACTCAGCATTTCAGATGTTTGCCATGCATCATTCCAGATAATCAGAAGTGCAGTGATTTGGACTGAGCTCTGGAAGTATACTGAATATGAACCTTGACATGAGACTGCATTGAAAAATGCATGAAATTGCCTAAAGAAAATAGTTTATGTTCATCCCTGCAAATCAAAACCCATAAAGCTTCACACAGCTCTGCTCAGTCTGCACCAATGACACAGCTATCACCATGGAATTACTGCACTTCTACATCTGTTTAACATTACAGGCAGAAGCATGGGGGAAAGAGACAGAGAGAGAATTAGACCCATTTAATCAGGCTTTAAATATTCAGCTATGTTTCTGTCGTTTAGTTTTTTTAAGCAGAAAGAAGAACAATTTCTTCTGCCTATCCACATCCTGTTTACTGCAGGCTAAGCTAAGTGGGTGCTGGAGGGAATATTTATATCCTGTCAAGTAGGTCATTATTCCCCAGACCTCTGTATGTAGATCAGGAATTACCTGGGGAAGAACACAGCACCAGCTACAGCTACTGCTACAGTGCCAGCTGGTTTGCAGCGTGTGCCCTAGCTGGCCTCTTCTCCTATTTTGTGCAAAGGTGGGGGACAAAGAGGAAGACAGTGAGCTTGTTCTTAATGTTGCAGAAGGGGAGCAAGATCATGGACGCTCCTGGCATTAGTTTGTTGGGGTGGGGGTTGTGAGGAGGGAGAGGAGAGGAGGGAAGGGGAGGGAAAGAACAGCCCTCTGCTAGGCATTTGAGGTACAGAATCCCTGAGAGGGCTGATTTCAAGAAGACATTAGAACTGAACTCACTGTCCAACAGTCCTTTGAATGGAACATTGAAGTCTGGCCTTGCAAATGTTTTCTACAAATATACTGAAGCCTTACAGAAAGAAGCAGAAACAATACAGAGCTGCACTTGATGGGGAAAAAATAAAACCTCAAGCTGCTGTCTTCCTTAGCATGAAAAAAATTCATTCATGTGCTGTAAATTTTGGGGTCAAAAATACATGTCTCTTTCATGAGCTGGGCTAATAGTCCATTACAACTATACAGAGATTTCTTACCTCATTGTTCACTTCTCCTTTTCTATTAAAATCCCGAACGCCACTGCAACTATAGGCTGCTAGTAATACACATACATCTATACAAAGTACATTTTCAGTTCTGCTGAAAAACATTCCCAGTGCGCTCTGGGAAATAAAACAAGTTAACATGCAATCATCAGCTTGGCACCATTTTCACAGTGCTTCTGAGAACAATAACTAAATACATGGACTACATGACCTGAAATACCTTGTCCCTTGTGGTCATACACACCTCAGTAGCACCAAGACTCAAAGACACCAGAGGCCTTCAGCTGAACTCCCAACGTAACAGACAGTCATTTTTCATGGAGATGTTCTCAAGTCTGCTGTGCTGGTTTTAGCTGGGATAGAGTTAATCTTCTTCATAGTAGCTAGCATGGGGCTAAGTTTTGCATTTGTGCTGGAAACAGTGTCAATAAGATAATGATGTTTTAGTTATTGCTGAGCAGTGCTTACACAGAGTCAAGGCCTTTTCTGCTTCTCACACCATCCCACCAGCGAGAAGGCTGGGGGCGCACAAGAAGTTGGGAGAGGACACAGCTGGGACAGCTGACCCCAACTGACCAAAGGGATACCCCATACCATATGACGACATGCTCTGCATATAAAGCTGGGGGAAGAAGGAAGGGGAGGACGTTTAGAGTTATGGCGTTTGACTTCTCAAATAACCATTATGTGTGATGGAGCCCTGCTTTCCTGGAGATGGCTGAACACCTGCCTGCTGATGGGAAGTAGTGAATTAATTCCTTGTTTTGCTTTGCTTGCATGTGTGGCTTTTGCTTTACTTATTAAACTGTCTTTATCTCAACCCAGGAGTGTTTCTCACTCTTACTCTTCTGATTCTCTCCCGCATCCCACCGGGGCGGGGAGTGAACGAGCAGCTGTGTGCTGCTTAGTTGCTGGCTGGGGTTAAACCATGACATCCGCCTATGAAAATAACCTTAATAATCAAACTTGATTCTAAAACTGCATCTGAACACTATACTAAGGGATGAGCTACTTCATAGTCTACTTCAACAAAGTGCTGATGGGATAATAAAATAGCAGTGGCATGTAAATTTACTTTAGTTTACAATGCAGTCTGAAAAAGTCTTCTGTAGATGTGTCTTTTGAGTGGCCTTCATATAAACAATAGTCAGGTCAAGTAACATACCTGCCTTTTGTGCAATTTAACACATATGTGGAAGGTGGCAGATATAAACATACTGGTTCATATTCCATATTGAAAAAACAGAGGGGAGAGGAATTGCATCTCAGGCAGAGGTTTTGGTCAGAAAATCTTGCTTTAATTTCCATTATTTCCTTCAGGTGTTTTCCCAATCACATTTCTGCTTATGCTACCTGCAGCTTTGTCTTCATAGCCACTCAGAAAAACGTTCTACCTGACTGCTAAAAAAGAGCAGTTGCTGGCCTCACGTACTGCTGCAAATTCTTAGACACTTTCAGAAGTCACCTTCCATAGGATGGAAACGGACTTGTTAATTTCTAAAAGGAGAAAAAATTTACACAGGTTCTACTCACCTATAAGATGCAGTAGGTCATAAAGAATTAGCAGCTAAATGACTATGAATGTATGGTGAATAGAAAGGCTTAATGCCAGCAGCTACGAGCCTGAGTTTAGTATAGTAACCAATGAGATCAGGGAATGCAGTAATACAAAGCCATGTAGACTACAGGAACACAAATGGCAATGAATTGAAAAATACAGGTTATCCCAGATCCTTCATCATTCTAGTGCAAAACAGAGAATGACAAGACTTCATATCTTGAGTGAGCTACATATGTAACAACTGCATGGAATCATTCTGCCTCCTTTGCACAAGTATTTCTAGATCATACTCTCCTTTATACTGCAGATCCTTTTGAGTAGCAAGACATGAGGGGAGAGAAGGACTGGCTGCAGAAGATGTTGATATATGGCCCCGAGACTCACACCTCATAACTCACAGCAAGCAGGGAGTTATCTTTTTCTGAAGTTTTCTTCAGCTCCAGTTGGGGATTATATGCAGAGCTGCCCTGAAAACACTTACTAATTGAATACCACTCCTCCTAGCCCAGGCATGCTGTCAAGAGAGGGAATCAGTGTGTGAGCACTATATGAACAAGATCACTTCTTATGTCTAAATCTCATGGTCAAAAAGGTGGTGGTCCCAAGAACCATCATTTAGGAAATGCAAAGCTGTATGAGAAATTCATCAGACTACAGCTGGTGTACAGAAGGAGATGAAGCACTACTCACACAAAGTGGCAATGGTCAGACACTTAACACAGCCTAGAGACTGCCCTAAGCAATGGAATGCCATCAATTGAATAGTCATTGGCAGGCCAATGCCTGCCTGTCCTGAGAGGACCATACAGGACCATGCACATATTTCAGTGCCACATGGACAGACAGTTTATCAGAAAGGAGTATTCTGCTGTGTTTTTTTTAAACTAAATTTAAAAACACAAGCAAAAAACCAACCCAAACTAAGGGCTGGGCTAAGGCACTGACATTTCACAGAAAAAAAAAAAAAATTAATTCCCAGTTCTAAGTGACCTTTGGAAATTAACTTCTTGTTTACCCTCATGATGTTTCTTTAGAAAGTGAAACAAAATGTTTTCAACAACCAGGCAGGAGACATTTTATGATTTCTTCTCTCCCATCCCTGCTTGCTCTCAATTGTTTTTGGGAAAAAAAATTATAAGACACAAGATCTGAGGGAATGCCCAGTTCCTAGCCAGCTGAGAGGATGTACTTTCAAGGGGCATGAGTTCCAAAAGTGAACAGGCAGGACAGGTTTGTCCTAGCTGGACCTGATGACCTACCTGGCTTTTGCTGTCCTGAAGTCCAATGATGCCATATTTCAAAAATGTGATACAAAATAAGTCATAAAGCGAGCAACATGTATGTATTGTATTAATTTCAAAGGATGAAGCTCTGTCCTGTGCCCTAGACCTTTTATTAAAATGTACCATTTAGAAGTTATTACGTAACCATGGCATATTTCTATAATTTTTAAGATATGCTTACTTCTAAAAAAACTATATAATTATGAACAAGCATACCTATTTTTCCTATACTTTAATCTTTTTAATATGTGCTTCAAGAATCTAAAAATGAGTAATACTTAACAAAGATACTAAAATTAGAAAACAAGCACAGCTAGCTCTGAAGCAGTAGCAGTGCAAGAAGGACTTTAGACTCCAAAGAAATATACTTTCCAGCATATTGTTTTAAGGATTATTACTGCATGGTGAATTCATTGTTAACATGCACTACAAGCTGGAGTGAAAAATAAAAATCTGCATTTCAATTTGCTAATTAAAAGTCTTCTCAAAAAATAAAAAGTAAAGATATTTGCTCTCATTATTTCTCAGATAGTGTAACAGCTACCAAAGCTCACTCAAAAATATCAGAATATGAGAAATGCCATATTCAGCAACCTCCCCCCCAACTTTTCAAAAGAGTTGCTTCCCTTTTTAGACAACTGCTACATTTCAGAGGATCTTCTTGTGTCATCTATTACAAGGTTTAACTTCACTTTTCCTAAACAGTCCTTCAGACATAAGTCTATGCACACATTGTCTGCAGTTACCACTCCTTTATGTTGAGTTTTACTTCTTTGCACTTTCAACATTTATCTGCAGTGTATTTCCATCTCCCTCTTCATGCAATGGCTTAATTTGTCATGCTTTAACTTAAAAACAGAAAAATAAATAATTTCAGATTCTACAAATAACGCATTACCCTTCAACACCATTTCATGTTTTCCAAGGTCCTCTAGCAGAACAGAACAGAATAGAATAGAAATGAATAGTTCCAGTTAGAAGGGACCTACAGTGATCATCTAGTCCAACTGCCTGACCACTTCATGGCTGACCAAAAGTTAAAGTTAATAAAAAAGTTAAATATTATTAAGGACATTGTCCAAATGCCTCTTAAAACACTGTCAGGCATGTATGTGTCTGACCACCCTCTCGGTAAAGAAATGTTTCCTAATGTCAAGTCTGAACCTCTCCGATGCAGCTTTGAACCATTCCTACATGTCCTGGCACTAGATACCAGGGAGAAGAGATCAGCACCTCCCTCTCCACCTCCCCTCCTCAGGAAGCTGTAGAGAGCAATGAGGTCACCCCTCAGCCTCCTTTTTGTCCAAACTAGACAAACCCAGAGTCCTCAGCCGCTCCTCATCGGACGTACTTTCCAACCCATACGCAAGATTTTGTTGCCCTCCTCTGGATGCATTCAAGTACCTTAACATCATTCTTAAATTGTGGGGACCAGAACTGCACACAATACTCAAGCTGAGATCCCCTTTGCCCCCTTACATTTGACAGTGTTTCCTTCCCTACAGGCTGCTCTCTAGAAGATGATGGTGACTGTTCCATTGATTGTTCTGTGTTTTTCTTATCCATTTCCATCTCAGAAGAAGTATTCTCATCTTCTCCAGTCCATCTGTTCAGCTGCTTATCAACCAGCCTGTCAAGAAGCTGGGGTAGGTGATCTTCCTCAATTGATATTATTCTTTGGAGATGTGATGCTTTAGATGTTCCTCCAGTGGCTCCAGCATCAGGGTCTACAGAGAGAATTCCATTCAGTCCAGCAGAATTCCTTCTCTTTGAGTTATTGAAAACATCATCTTCTTCAAATGAATGGCTAGATGGAGAAAAAAATAAGTACATCACAAAAATATATTGGACCAGGATTCCTATTGTTTTATTGTAGTGTGACTGAATTTAATCTCCCATGTTTTTTACTACTCACAGTCAGGCATAGTAGATTCAGTCCAATGTCTACTGAAAAGTTAGCTCTTCATACAATGTGTGTATATACACAGTGTGCTTGATAATTATAAGCATCATGGGGAAAGCTAATAACTTACGGGGAAGACCTGAACCAGAATACAAACCACAGGATTAGCCTCATTTCTAACCTCATGGAACAGCTAAAGTAAATTTCTCTGCTGTGATTTCCTACTTCCCTCCCCCCTCTATTCTGGAAGAATAAAACAACACGCTAACCCAGACCTTTTCTATGTGTAATCTAATTCTCTCTTTAGCAGGTAGGAGGGAGATGGGTTTGTTTAATATGCATGAAAAAAAGGCTAAGTGGGGATTCAACAGAAGGGGGAGTGTAGATAAAATAGATCCAGAGTCTTCTCAGATGTGTGCAATGACCACAGATGCAAGTTGCAATAAGAGAAATGCTGACTTGATACAGGGAAGAAAATTTCTTCATAAGACTGGTGTAGCAAGGGAACAGGTGCTGAAAGAGGCTGTGGGACCTCCACCCAGATGTTCAAAGACTCAACTGAACAAAGCCCTGAGCAACCTTATCTAGTTTTGGAGTTATCCCTGTTTGAGCAGGTGATTGGACTAGAGACATCAGAGGACCTTCCCACCTAAATTCTTCTATGATTTTTGTTCCATAATTGCTTTTGCCAATTACGCGCCCCTTCTCAGTTCTGAACTTACTAAACTGTGTCTCTGAAAGCTCTCCCTCCTTACACTTCATGATCCTGTGCCTACAGGGACATTGTCTTAGCTGCTATTTCAAAGTGAAATACTAGTCTTCTTTCCAGCTCCTCTTGTCTCAAAGGAAACATGCTAGTGTTTCACTGAAATCACCATCTTGTTCCTGTTGATTTCAAGTTTACAACCACGCAGTTGAGAATTAAATTCTCCATGTTCTACTAGTTCAACATCCCATAATTTACAACAGAACTGTTGTCCTCTACAATGAGAGGGGAGGAGGTATACTCTTTCAGGGAGTTACGAAGGTCATTGTACCACATCAACAGAGGGTAATGGGCAAGGTTTTCTGCCTCCCAGCGTATAGTCATCTACAGTGGGGAAGTCTCTTGCCTTCGCAGACAGTACCAGTTTTATGTGAAAATTTGCCTCTTTATTTCCAAATTTGTTAAAGAGCACAGTAATCTTACAGTGACAGACACTTTAGAAATACATGCTTTGAAAAGTCCAAAGGTATCAGAACAAAAACATTCCACATCTTTCTATAAGCCTCATCATACTCAAACAGGGAACACAAAAAAAAAAGTTCTTACCTGTTAGGCAGCATCTTGCCCTCCATGTATTTCCCAATGACAGACCCTGATCTTTGCTTCCAGCTGGCTTTTGGAACACTTGTTTTGCATTTCTGCAGAAATACAGAATACTTCTTACTAATTTACTCTTGTTGTTCATTATGGTTAACTGCCTTCATTCCTAACGCTTAAATAACGCAATGAATATGAAAGAAAAAATTGTAGAAAAAATCCTAGACGTATAAATGCTTCAAAATCCTGATTGATAAACAATCAGAACACGGAAACTCCAGACCCTGCAAGGATTCATCTTTGTAAACTAAGTGGACCACAATAAAACAGCATGTCATGAAAAGAAGTCAATAGATATATGGTGATTTACACTAGCAGCTTCTTGTAGGAATAAGAATACAAACAAGTGTTAAGTGGCCCTAGTCTCAAGCCAGGGTACTTCTGGAACTTCTTAGGGGCCCATTCTCTGCTGCTAGATAAAAAGTTAATGTGATCTGCTCTTACCCAGTACTGACAGGTGTTCAGGTACTGATTCAGGTACTCAGGTATTGTACTGTTGTATAAACACTTCAAGATATTAGCCACTCTTGACTGAAAAGATTCACACAATTTAATTGTTCAATTTTTAGGTTATTTCATCCTTTCATGATTGCATCCTTAGCTTCTTATAAAATACATTCATCTCCCTCAAGATAGATCCAACTTTATAATTCTAAAAATGTAGCTCGTAAAATAGTTCAGCAAATTTTAAAATCTTCTTCCCAAGTGAGAAAAAAGACTATAAATTAAGAATGGGGCAAGATTTAAGTAGCACAAGAGTCTGTCTCCTGCATAGCCTTTGTATCCCCTTCTTCTGAGGCTGTTCTGACATGTTTGCTCAACATTGGGTTTGAAAACAATAGTTGTTTACCTGTAAAAATATGTCACGTTCATCTTTGAGATGTTTGTTCCTCTCCCTGCAAAGAGAACACAAATAAAAGAAACACTGAAGCCAAGTATTTAGAACTGCTGATTTTTCTACTCAACACTAACAGACAGACTGGACAGTTGGCAGTATAAGAGGCAAGACAAATGCACTTTAATTTGGCATATCTCCACCCTTGATCATGCTTTATTTATATTCTCACCACAGCCAGTTCCCTGCCTGGGCCACTGAATCTCCAGTAGGGCTATGCTGATTAAAGACAGCTGGCATCTGGCCCTCATTTTGTAGTTTATCAAAACAAATGCCTTAATACATAGAAATCACTTCTGGTCAATATGCCTTCACTTACTCTAAATTAGAATGTTTAAAGCTTTTCACAGTAAAGATGACCTCTTAATGTGGAGAGGGTGTAATGAACACCATCTCTATTCAAACTGGTGATAGCTGTGAAGACCACTTATGTCCCTCTGACGACTACAGTTGTGGCTGCCATGGAAAAGTCTCCCTAGGAAAACATCCATCTTCCATTCATTTTGCAGAAGAGATTAAAATGTCAAGAAATGAAGACTCCAGGCAATCAGCCATCTCTGATCAGATCTGACAACACACCTCCTTAGTCCATCATTCATTGTCTCCATCTATTGCTGGCCTGGCCACAAAAGAGACTGAGCAGCCGTTACAGCCTTGGTGAACAGAAACAATCTCTGCTGCCAGATGTTTCTCTCTATGGCCCAGGCAGCAGGCAAGATCACAACACATGGAGTGGCCTATGGGAAGCATACTGCAAAGTAAGACCCTTTCCTCAAGCATGGGAGCTTTTTAGGTAACTTTAAAATGAGGCCTCCTGAAGGAAATGCAGTGAATACAGGCCTACAGGCAAGTACAATCTATAGCCCATGCAAACTTGCCATTGAGCAAACAAAAACTAACATTGCTGCACATTAAAAAGAAGGTTACAATTGTCTGAACACCAACCCAAACTTTGAAGTCTATCAATACAGAAATGTTACAGAGAAAATTTGCTAAATATATTTTGATATAATTTTACAAATAAACATTTTGGGGAAAGAATCTTCCTTTTGGCTGTACTCCCATCACTTTAGAAAGAACAGAGCCTTTTACTAAGCTTCAAGTCTCCTGTGGCCAGGCTTCTACCACATAACCAGCTTAGAACAGGTCACCTTTGTTTTGTTTTACATTTGACTTTTGGAATGGAGATTGGCCTACAATACTGAATTGCCAGAACAAAGCAAATCTTTCATGTGTACTGCCCTCTAGTGTGTGCAAGAACGGGTCTTGGAAAACACTTACTGTCTTTTGTAACCATTTTTGTTCCCTTCTGTGTCATTATCCCGTGGCAGGTTGACCTTGGCTGGCTGCCAGACACACACCCAGATGCTCTCTCACTCCCCCTCCTCAACAGGACAGTGGAAGAAAGTAAGATGGAAAAGCTTGTGTGTCAAGATAAAGACAGGAAGATTGCTTGCCAACTACCATCACAGACAAAACAGACTCAGTTGTAGGATGATAAGAAACAAAGACAAAACTAAAATCACCTTCTCCCCACCCCCTCTTCTTCCCAGGCTCAACATCACTCCTACACTCTCGACTCTTCTATCTCCTTCCCAACCCCAAGCGGTGCCGGGAGAGGGGAATGGGAGGGGTTGTGGTCAGTCCATAACAGCTCCTCTCTGCTGCTCCTTCCTCCTCACACTTTTCCCTTGCTCCAGTGTGGGTTCCCTCCCACAGGTTACAGCCCTCCTTCACAAACTGCTCCAGCATGGATCCTTTCCATGGGGCACAGTCCTTTAGGTACAGACTGCTCCAGTGTGGGTCCCCCGTGGGCCACAGTTCCTGCCAGAAAACCTGCTCCTGCATGGGCTCTGTGCAGGCTGCAGGGGAATCTCTGCTCCAGCGCCTGGAGCATGTCCTCCCCCTCCTTCTTCACTGACCTTGGTGCCCATAGGGCTGTTTCTCACACTTTTTTTTTCTTACTTCCCTCTCTCAACTGCTGCACAATGTTTTCTACCCTTTCTTACACAGGCTTTCCCAGATGCGCCGGCACCTTGGCTGAAGGGCTCAGCTGTGCCCTGCGGTGGGTCCGCTGGAGCTAGCTGGAACCGGCTGTGTCTGGTATGGGGCAGCCCTGGCCTCTCCTCTCTGGCACAGAGGCCACCCCTGTGGCGCCCTGCTGCCAACATCCGGACACCTACACCCAGTACATGTCCCAGCGTAATTTCATCCTTTAAATGTACCTCTTTTGAATGATGCAAGAAGTCCTTGAATGTAAGGTCTGCATTACCTTAAAAAATCCAGCTGCTTCAGAAGTCCTGACTTCTCTCTCTGTAAGGTTTCTGTCACTCGGTACACCTCCCTGTAATGAAAGTAAATAAATAAAATTGTTCTAATCATGGTAACGACACTGCTAAAATGCTCCCCCCTAGGAGTGTCCACATTTGAGACTTCAGCTTCTCCCAACCTGTAGACTTTATTCTGCATGAATGGTTATTAAATTTAAAAAAGTTAATTCAGTATAAGGCTCACAGTACCACAGCAATTTGAGTTAGCAGAGGAAGGAGTAGAGGTTCCTTTTAAAAAAATTATAGCTTTATCATTTCTTCACCCAGAGAGCTTAATATATGCCGATACTGGCACTTGCATCATTCAGAGAAGACATACTGCTGAAATCCTTCTCACTCATGGCCACTAAAGACCATGTAACATTTTATCCAAAATTTGAGTTTATCTTGCTGCTGGAACCATATGTCAGACTCACACATCTACATGCCCTGCAATTTATTTTCAGTTCCTGACTTTAACAGTTATGCAGCCTTAAACATTAGATACAGTGTCTCAGATTTTTACACTAGATTTACACCATTTACTTTGACTTAATGCAACTTGGTGTCTGGCCTTAAATGTTTTTTGCCTTTCTGTGAAGCCTCAAGTTCTTCCTGTGCACAGTCTGAACATTACACCTGCTTCAACAGCTCAGGTCTTACCAGACTGATACAGACGTTTAAAGCAACACTGCAGGTGCAGTTGAGTAGGGCTGAGCTCTAATTCCATAAAATACTATTGAATCCAAAGTGCTTTGTAAATGCAGTAGTATTATTCGGCAGTCTGACCACTGGGCAGATTTCCTCTGTAGCTTTAAAACCAGATCATTCCACAGTCTTTGCTCTGGATCTGAAGAGAGAGGTCTCAAAGAGGAAACAAACCACCTTGAGGAGGAATATTTCTACTGTCTACTTCCAAAACACACATCAAACATGCAAACCTAAAATTAGTGTTCTAAATGCAGTGGCTGCTCTTTAACAATCATTTATCAACCAAGTTCGTTATTTATACCCTCAAGAAAAATTAAATTAGTAATAACTAAGTAGAGTTTGGCACAAAGCTTAACAGAAAAAGAATACGACATTTGACCGAATATTCTGCTCTATCCTGAAATATACCAAATAGGCACAGCTCTGAGTTACGTAGTTCATTGCTGAAATGTATAGAGTCTGGCAAGATATGCACACAGTCTGGCATCCATGTGCTCTCCATTGGCAAGAGGGTTTTACAGATCCCTGAGCATTTTTTTAAAACTATCTTCCATTAAATGGACTTCAGTGAACACTTATGCCAATTACAGCTTGGGGGTAATGTAACTTTTGCTTTGTGCAGAAGGCTGGAGCAAGACAAGTAGATTATCTGTCACTTAAAGGCCATTTCTATCCCTCAAAATATGAATTGGAAGTATTTCTTCTTGAAAAATATTTTTTAATTCAGAATCAGAATCTGAAATCCAAAACATGTGAACTGGAAACCCCAAAATGATGGTTCTGGATTGCGATAAGGCCTTGTGTAAATTGTGATTTAGCTGCATAAGCTACGTTTTATCTTGCTGGCCAGGCACCTTGGTCAGAAATGATGTCCTAGACTTACTTTGGATGAAGACAAGAAGCACATCCTAGCCCTCTCATAGCCAGAGTACATTCTGAGAAGCAAGTTTCAGACAGACTTAGCTTTGAGGAGGATGGAGCATCATGTGCCACAACTGTAATTTCTGTAAGGAATCCCACTGGTATTTCTAAACTAACACATACTTTTTAACCAATTAAACTGATTTTTAATTCCAAAACCCTCGACAAATGGGGGTTGGGGAGTGGGAGAACACTGACATTTTGAAGAAGTAGCTAAAGATTCTGTAGAAGCTACATGTAGATGCTACAGAAAACATGCTGAATTACTTGGGGAAAAATGACTAGAATTGCATTTGGCTCTGTTGGTGGTTTCTGCTTATGACACAAACTTAAATCACAGCACTGAATACCCTGAGAAGGAGGCTCACTGGCACACTAAGCAAATGCACTAGAACCACTGCAGCTGGAGACTTACATTTCCTTCTCCTCATGTAGTCTTGAGGCCTCCTCCTGAAGCACCTGTAACTGTTGTTGAGCCAGGCTTAGTTCGTGAGACGTTCTCTCCAGGTCTCTCAGCAGCTCCTGGTTAGTCAGCTTCAGCTTTGTGTTCTCTACTTTGGTTTCTTCTTTGCCACTGAGAAGTTCTGTACATTGCTGCTCTAACTGGGATGGAAGAAAAGAGAACAGAAAGTATCATAACTAACTGAGGCATCTTGGTTTTGAGGCTTTCAATTCAAGTCTTAGAGGTTAGTTGAATAGGGAAGCTATTTCTATCAAAGCCAACATATGAACAAAACACATATGGTGCTCTTCCACTGCTCTGTGTATGGACATAATTATGTTACACAAAAACAAAGCCATTCCACTCTATGAATTTGATTGAATTTCATCCAGTTCAAAAATGCACCAGGACAAACAACAAAAAAGGTGTTTACAGAGCAGATTAGCAGTACTTAGTTGATATTCACAACTGCTATATTAGACAATTTCCCACAATGACAAGACCTACACAGAGTGATTCAGAGTTCTGCCTAAAAACTATTAGATTTAAATCTGGTAGCTGATAAACCTTCCCATCCCTGGTAATATTAACAAGCAGTAACCTTTCTGCCATCTCAGCTAAATCTGCCAAGAAGTGTGAATTAAAGCTTTTTTATTCACATCTCCAAAGTATATACAAAGGAAAGATACACTTTCCCTGTGAAACAGATTAACAGCACATGACAGTATTTTCTGGTATGTAAAGAAGTTCCACCTGCTTCTTCCCGGCTAACTGAGCAAACTACGATGACAGAGCAAAAGTTAAGTAGACTAAAATTAGTTCACTTCATATTAGGGAAGGCACTGCTGACCTGAAGATATAAAAGCCTTTTTTTTTAAAAAAAATATTTTTCAGTATGCATTTTAAGGGATGTAAAATGTACTAGGAGGATTACAATGATACCAGTTCAATCCTCCAGATCCAAGACACAATGGAGGATTTTGTTAGAACTCTCATTTTGCACATCCCATCAAGCAGAGCTCACCCAAAACAAAATCTGTCCTTACCCAGCTCTGCCAATCTGTTCACGCTCCACAACACTGCAGTTGTTCTATTCTCGGTTTTGAATACAACCTTAAGGCCCAGGCTCAAAACAAAAGCAGAAAATACTTTCTAGCTGAGATTGTGAAAGGTCAGGAACAAGAATAGAGTAGGAGCACTTATCTCAGCAGCAGCACCAGCTTAACTTATTTGCTGAACTGTAGCCTCAGCAGGCTCACAGTTCATATGGAACACTGACTAGCTGGGCATCAAATTACTGCTGAGCAATGTTGGTTTACATTGATAGATCACTTCAGTTCCTAAGTATTGCTTCCATTCCTTGACAGAATGGAGTTATCTATTCTAAGTAAAAAGCCAGATGTTTCAGGTACTAGAAGACAAGACTTTCTTATCCAGAGGAGTGGTTTTGGGAGAAGCAAAAAGTGATCACACAAAGATGAACTTTCAAAAAGCGTAAGAGCAACAAGTTGCAGGCAGAAATCCCACTTACAGAATACTATGGCCATCTGAAAACTTACACAGAGACTGGCCTGGAAATGTAACTGCAATGGTAGCCATCATCAGCTCCCAGAGTCATAGGTACTGACGTTAGAAATAATTGCTATAAATCCTAGTGGTTACTGCTGTGAGAAAAACAATTATGTTGAAACTATGCTCAAAAGCAGATGCTTTAAACCCCAGGACACAACAAGAGGAGAAAGGTTTATTTCGCAGCAATACAGAGCTCCTTCCTTTCACTGTATCTGTACAATCCTTTAAGTGATGTCAAACACTACTTTTAAAGCATTCATCTGAACAACTCCCAATAGAGTGGAATAACTCATTAGGTGTATGTTCAGCTGGTATAGAATGGTATAGACCCTATAGGCTCTAGCTGCTTATTGGAGCTGCAAAATTGGCTCCCATGGTCATCAAGTAGATGAAAATGGATTGGGAAAGACTCATGGCCCACAGCCATGTTTAAAAAAATCTAGGAAGCAGAGAGAATTAACCAATTACCACAGGTCAAGCAGAGACACAGTAGCTGATGGTGTATATTTTCTTTTTTTGACAAAAATGGGAGGAAAAACTCACAAGTTTAAAATAAAGAACTGGGATTGTCCAATACAAGCAAACTGTTGCTGAGGACAGCTATTGCTGTACCTCAAAGACACATACATTAAGCACTGTCCATGCATTCTCTTGTTACTAGCTCAGCATCCTTTCTGTATTTTTCCTCTTTTTTCGTTCCTATTTATTTCAGGTGCACATGAAAGATGAAACATTTATACAGTGTTATAAGGCTGGGCATTATTTTGTTCTTTTTACCTTTCTTAACAATCCTATCACTTGATTTGCATTTTTGAGTGCTACTGATCCATGTTCTCATGGATCTCTCACTCAGAATACCAAGATCATGCTCTTCAGTGGCTGTCATTAGCACAGTACCCATAATTTTATGTGAGAAGCCCAGTAACTCTCCTGCATTTTATGTGGTCCACACCTACTTTCTTCCCCTAACACAAGATTCTGTGCCCTAGATGTTATGCCGGACATCCTCTGTCCCCAGTGCCTCCTTCTGAGACATGCCACCACACATCCCTTGAGGAACATTATTGAGAATACCTTATGCTTTATCTGAGCTATGTAGAGCAAGATGACAATTCAAGATCATGGTAGCCAGCAAAAAGGCCTAGCCAAAAGAATCTTGGCCAGTCAACATGGAATCAGATCAGTATTTCAGTCACACCAGGCAGAAGACCCTCATAAGGGACACTCCCTCTGGCTATCAGCAGAAACAACACTGAACTCATCTTGCCTGGAAGTTCCCTTTCACATTTTTGCTAATAATTTTCAACACAGGAATAATTACCTTGTATTTAAAAAAAAAAAAAAGAAAAAGACTTATTAACGAAGTTTGGAAAAAAGCATTTGTATTACTCCCAAGAGGTTCTCTCATATAAGCAAGCATGGAAGTTGTAATTAAACCAAACTACCATTAAATCTGTTCTTGCAGATGGTAATTATCAAAGCATATTTCCATGCAAGAGGAGGAGGCAAAAGTGACAGAGTGCTCTGGATAAGGCAAACATTAGACAGTGGAAGCTAACCTAGCACACATTGATATCTAGGTGAATGAAGAGTGGGGTTATAGTATTATATATAGTATTACAAAAACAGATCTGAGGAAAGATGAGAGTCACTCTCAGAGATGATCATTATGAATTAGATAAATATATGTACAAAACACTGCCTCTAACTACTGAGCTAAGCATTCAAATAAACAGGCTAGGCTGCTATACCAGAAAAAAAGAATCAAATATTCCATATAAGATTTACAGTGGGTACCAATCAGCTGGTTGAATGACAAAAGTTTCAAATGCTATCAATCATTTGAATAAAATTATCTCACTCATCACATCATTAGAAGTAGTGAATTCCATTTGTCCAGCACAGCTTCCTTTCCATAAAAATAAAATGGGACAGTTTAATTTTGATGGTACAATGAAGACCCTGTCCTTCAAAAACACCCTTGTTAATACTCATGCAAATTTGTAAGGGAGAGGAGAAATGATAAATAGAAATTACAAATAAAATAGAAAACATGGTAATACTATTAATAATAAATAATGCAATGAATAGGAGAATAATTAAAATTGAATTTATTAATAATAAAATAATACTAATAAAAATAACACAAAACGTTTCTTTATGTTTGAGTCACCATCCCTGGAGGTATTTAAAAGATGTGTAGATGTGGTGCTTTGGGACATGGTTTAGTGGTGGACTTGGCAGTGCTAGGTTAATGGTTGGGCTTGATGATCTTAAAGGTCTTTTCCAGCCTAAATGATTCTATGATTCTATGTTCTCCAAGACAGGCAATAGTACACAATAGGCAATGCAGACAATAATCATAAGATAAAACTTCCTGATATGGCTGCCTATATTGCTTGATTAAACCAGCCTTAAAATTGAGTGTAAGCCTTTGAATAGCTTCTGTGGTTTTTCTACCACATTTAGAACACATATATTTTAGAGAACCACAGGAAAAGGGTTTTACAGAACTACTCATTGATAACTTTTAAACATAGCTTTAAAGAAAATAAAAAAGGAGAATACTAAAATATAATCATTACAAAATTATGATAGTTTCTTATATTTTTGCAGCTAGCTTCAGACTAAAAATGCCTGATTTGTGTGCCCCCACAGATATCTTCAAAGTATAGATTATTTCACTATAGTGATGCAATGTGGTAAACAGCCTGCATAAAACCACATCTATTCTGCTTCACAGTAGTACTGAATAAAGGTAATTAACATCAGGCAGTTGATTTCAATTATGTAATGGCCTTTTAGTTCAGTCCTATATCCTCATCAGCTAAACTTGCATAATTATAGTAAGCTAGAGGTTTGTCTCCCTTCTTACTCAAGTACAATCCTACAATTCCTATCAGCTTCAGCAGCACCTGAATTCATTCCTCAGAAGAGGATCTAAAAAGTACACACAACTAGGAAACTGCCCTCAAACTTCTTTTTCACCTTCCTTCCTTTCTCCTCTTAATTCTCTCCCACTTCCCAAGACTGGCACTCCCAAGCACTGCTGCCAGGAAAAGAAATTTTGCATGTATTTTATATTCATATTCTACAGAGGGAGTTGGTTTCACAGCATTCCATTTCAGACCCTTAAATTCCAGTGCTACCCCCCTTCCCTATCACTAGTCTTTCATGCACTGACCTTGGAGACACTTTACAGCAGGTTCACACATGCAGAAATACTCTACTTCCCCAAGCAGGCCATGCATTTTAAGAAGTAAAACACATCAGGCTTTAATATGGGAACTTGACAAGCTGTTATGATGCAAGAGAACCATGCACTGCTATAAAACTGTTATCACAGAGAGATGTATCAGGAGCAGGTTGTTCAGGAGGGAGGATTTCAAGTTCATAGTGCTGAATTGTCCAAAACAAGTAAATGAGTAGTTGGTACAAGCTTTGAGCAAAGGTGTACACTATAAGATCCAAATCATTGTTCTCTGCTCTTGAGCTGTCCAGGCATTAAGCCAGTTCCTAGCACATTGAAGGCAGTGGAATTCTGCTACATTTTCATAAAATTAACCTAGTACCTGGGGAGAATACCTGGAGCATTTTTTTTTCATTTTATCATATAAAAGGAAAACTGCTTTAGAAATAGAGGGTAACATTTTTCCTAAGCACATGTGTAGAAGCCTAGTAGTCATAACTCCACTTTTAAATGCATGCAGGTATCTATGCTCATGACACAAAAGCAACAGAGGGTCACAGAGGGTTTGGCAGAACCACGTTACACCAAGTTGCATTGCTTGGACCTAAAATAGTACCTAAAGAAATCATATAAACAAATAAAAATTATCTATTTTTTAACTCTGAAGAATATCAGTTAATACCCTTTTCTGTTTTTGCACCAATTGTTCCAGTTCTTGTTCTTTTGACAGGAGCTTGCACTCCAGCTCTTTACTGTAGGACTGAAACCTTTCTGTGTCCTGCAAAATTCAAAGAGGAAATTTATTAACAGAACAGCACAATTTCATCAGCAGGAGGAGACATAAGGAATCAGGCATGAAAATAATAGGCAAGCTTTTTGCAGCGAACATGACGAGCTACTGATAGAACTCAATTTAGGGATAGTATCACTCACGAATCTAGACTGAGCTTCCGTAAACTGGTGTAGTCCAGCAACTTCAATGACTGCAGTTGCTACAGAATGTGCTGATTGCACATGAGTTGGTGTCAAGTCTACAAAATGGAGGTAGAAGTCTTCTATCTTAGGCATGAGCCTTAGGAGCTTAGCCAACCTAACTCAATGAAGCTAGAATGCATCCTCCCATTTCCAGCTATACATAACCCTCATCTTCTTACACACCAGCATTCATGCTCATCTGTTGCAGCAGTGAGCTGTTTCAGAGAGCTAAACAAGCAGAAAAAAGTGAATAGCTTTCTGCACATTTTGTTTCCTGAACCAGGCAACTGCTCACACAGAGAAGTGATGAGAATGCACTGATGGAAACAACCTGGACAAATTTAACTTACTATGGAGTCATAGTGTAATTCACATACAAGACATCAGGATTGACATGGGAGATACAGGCTACTGACACACAACACAGCAACTCAGGTTGAAGTAAAAGAAACAATACCTGCTACCTTTAAAATCCATGACTAACAACAATTTGTCGCAGATGTTCCACTGGTATAAGCAAGTGATCTGGGCTTCAGGCTCTGCCATTCACTTAGCAATTATGTCAATCTGTCCACTATCTAAGTATCCTGCAATCACTGGGAACTCCCCATCCTACTTGGGATTACTCCTTCAGACACTCCTCAGCTGAGACAAATGTTACTTCCCTGAGTAAAATCGGGTTCCAGCAGTTCATATCAGCTAAGAATCTGTCCTATTCCTCCACAACAGGCTTCTACTCTCTAAGGTCCCCAGGAAAATGCCTCTAAACAAAAATAAACATTCCCTCAAGACAGCAGTGGTTCCTACATGCTCTTCCCCTCCAGCAGTATGCATAATGGGGTTATCAAATGCATGTTAACTGGCTTCTTATGTGGAAGAATATATATCCAAGTGTTTTTCAGACAGACTAGCTGCCCTTTTTGTACAACCTTCAGTCAGCAGGGTATTGTAAATAGTACCATAAAGAGCTACAATTTGTACTTATTTGCATCTTACCAGTTTCTTTAAATGTATTCTCCAAGAGCTGCACTTCATTCAAGTCATAATAATTACCCTTTTATATGGCATCAATGCATCTCTCCAGGCTGTAAAGTCTCTGTGAGACTTTGCATTAGAGAAAGAATTTAACAGTCAGATCTTCCCAAATCCCAAATTCATCATGCCAAGAAACAATACTTCTTGAGTGTCTGACAACCATTAGTGTGAATGCTGGCTAAACTGTAAATAGCTTCAGTACTAAGCTTTAATGAAAAAGCTTGAAAGAAATGGCTTTACCTCAAATATACAAATAATTAGGAGATCGAACAAGCATTGCTTATTGGAAAAGTCTTTGTTGTTTTAGGATCTTCAATACAACTTCCTTTGTGGGCTATTAAGGGCATGTAAATAATTTCTTCCACAACAACTCCTGTCAGGCAAAGTTGTAAATACATTTTATCCTTCAGCTGATACACAAACTTTATATAAAGGGTTCATCTCACCCACCACTAAAAATTGCTCTCAGCTTGGAATGGAAAAAACTTGAAATTTATGAGTCAGGTTCACTACCCTGTGAGGCAAGTGAAAAGACTGACTCCTTAGACAGCTGATTAAGGTTCTTTTTGCTCTAACACACTTTATGTCAGGAAACAAAAAATACTTTGTATATTTGGATCACAAACAGATTTTTTAGACATCATATTTGATTGAGAATGGAGGCAATAACTGATGGATAACCATTAGTTTTGGCAACATTTTGTGTACCATGTGTTGTCTGAAACCATGTATTGGTTTCATTTATATGACTGTTTTCAAGACAACAAAAAGGCATGAGCCAGTGGCTCATGACTGGTTGTCCCAGGCCACCCAGAGAACCTGTGGAATCTCCATCATTTGCGTACTCAAAATTCAATTGGACAAGTCCCTGAGCAACCTGATCTAGTTTGAAAGTTAGCAGCATAGGTGCCTTCCCACCTAAATGATTCTAAGATGACTCTTTCCTGGAGCATACTGGGAGTTCTTGTTAGTTTCCTTGTTTTAGAAGAAAAACAGGAGAGAAAAATCCAAAGAACAGACTATAAAAGCAGTAGAGGAGATTTAAAGGAGACTTTGTAAGAAAAGGTAATTAATTGTCAGGTGTTTTGGAAGCACACAAAAGAACCTGACCTATGTTTATTTTGCAAATAGCTGTGGTGGTTTCAGAAATTACCATCACTTCATTTATCTGTTGTTGCTCTTCAGTGAGAACTTATCCCCTCCTCAAAAGCAGAGACTGCAGAACTTAACAAGATTAATGCTGCTCTGAACCTCAAAGAGCATTTTTCTTAATTGTGATTGGAAGTTGGGCCTATAGCAGCATCGATAATACAAGGAGGTTGTAGTTCAGTGGACTTTCAAAAGAATACCAGCTGCTATTGTATGCCAGCCACTGAGCACAGGACACCAAGGCTCCTCTTATCCACTTAGTTTGAAGCTGCAGAGCCTGGATCAGTACAAAAGCAGCAGTGAGGCAAATGATGTTTTTTCTTATTCTGTTGTGAAACATATTTTGTGGGCTTTCATTTCACACCCAGAATGAATATAAAACTACTGGAACTGGGAGCAGAATCCATGCCCACAAGAACAAAGAGACACTCACCTTCATGAGAAACTGTTCTTTCTCTTTTTGGATTTGCTGTTCCATTTCTTCATAGAGATGTTGAATTTCTTCATCATAAGCAGCAATTTTCCTAATAAGAGAGAAAAGTTTACTGAGTGGGTCTTTGTAGCATTACTTCAAGTCATGGCTCACATTATGAGCTAAGCCCCACATTTCTGCCTTAACACAGGACTCCAGAGAATGTTCTAGGGTTAAGAAAATAGGAATTTTTGTGCAGGAAAGGTCATAGATTAAATTTTAATTTTTTTTAATAGAAGGAAAGATTCAACAGCTCTAAGGCTAATAAAGCTACACATCTGATGTTTCCGTATAAAGCAGCTGTTCATTATGCAGTTTTAATGACTACTAAATTTTCAGTTTAAGGAACAAGAGCTTCCTAGTGACAATACTAAGAATACCAGAACCTAAGTTTGCCAGTTAAAAGTATTTTGAATGCAACTTCATTTTTTTACTCTGGAACTGCATTGTTCACCATTCAAAAGCATTGAATGAGGTACTTCTATCATGTCTACGATGTTTTAGCTAGAACGGACTTCTTGAAAGTCCTTCTTGAAAGCTGCCTTACTGCCTCTCTAACAGCTTTGCTGAAACAAATTTGAAAAACCCAGCTGAGGAACAGAAATAGATATGCTGTGCACAAGTGGATCTGACTGTAGGAAAAAAGAAGGACTTACAAAGCTCACTTTTACCAATAGAATATTGCAATTAGTATCACTGCAGTTTGATACATGAAGGATTACATTGAGTAGATGCTTTAGTTTGGGCAGAAGAAAATTAACTGATGAAAGGGAACAAGACAACTGCTTTGTTCTGCTTCTATTCTATCCTATTCTATTCCATTCTATTTTCATTAATCCAGAAACTGAAAAGCAAAAATCACTTTGCATCAAACTCAGGACTTACAGCAGCAATAAACAAATATCAAGCTACACCAATATGAGGAAAATGCTTGCTGTCACTTCAATTTTTATAAACTCTGATCAGGTGAGAGAAGCAGCCCAGACAAGGGCCTCTTCATGTGACTGCAATGCTTCAAATAAAGAGTGCCAGAAAATCCGTGAGCCCTTTTTGCTACCTTACTCCCCTTATAGTATAAAGTCAGGTCATCTTCTGATCTCAAATTTTATTTTCTTAAAACTAAGAAAATGCTTCATAAGAAATTAGCACTCATCAATGGAATAAAATTACACAAATTCATAAAGAATTAACAATTATTTAGAAGGGTATGGCAGAGATGCTAAGATAATATTAAAAAATACTGTATTCATGCAGTATAATGTCACTTTGATCAGGGCTATATTAACTATGTACTGAAAAACCTTGTAACTTTGCACAGGCAGAACACATTGCACAGCAGTTGGTATTTCCATGGGAATCATAAAGATTTTCTTTGCTTCTGTATGACAGGGAAAATAACTTCAGTCTGTATTATTAAGCTGCTGATTTAGCTATTTCTTTCCTCATATGTGTTTGGAAGCAAAGGATATGGCACCACCATCAAGACTACATCCAGGGGGTACCTCTGGATGTAGGAATCTTTTTAGCTGATCTGGCACGTAAGCATATGCCATTTCTGCAGGCTGAATACTCCCCAAGCAGTCCATTCACGGCTTACGATTCAGTAACGTTGATCAAATTAAACAGAAATATAAAATAATATCCTGTTTTAATCAAAAGTATAACACAGTTATAAGTAACGTAACTAACAAGCAGCAGAAAAAGTAATCCAGTACATTAGCTGGCAAATATTCCCCACATGCAGTCAGGGGAAAATAATTAAAGCCATAAAGGCATACCATTGTTATGTGAAAAATGCAAAATGTTTTGATTAAAATCTCTATTCCCTGGGATCATACCATCCAGTTTTACTCAATGCATAACTGTATCATTTCAGCAATATTTGATAATGTCATCTTTCTCTTTCCAGTAATGCTGTGGAATAAACAGAGATGGAGACAAAAGGGAGACAGTCACAGAATCATAGAATCATAGAATCGTTTAGGTTGGAAAAGACCTTTAAGATCATCCAGTCCAACCATTAAACGAACATTACCACGTCCACCACTAAACCAATTAAGGGTAGAGTAGCAATTTCATGTTTCCTGGATTGCTGGCTGGATTATTTATAATGAAAGTAAAAACTAGTGAAAGGATCTCTAAGATCATCAGTCCAACCATCAACCCAACACCACCATGCCCACTAAACCATGTACCAAAGTGCCACATCTACTTGTTTATTGAACAGCTACAGGGATGGTGACTCCACCACCTCTCTGGGCAGCCTGTTCCGATGCTTGACTACCCTTTCTGTGAAGAAATTTTTCCTAATATCCAATGTAAATCTCCCCTGGCACAGCTTGAGGCCATTTCCTCTTGTCCCATCACTTGTTACGTGGGAGAAGAGACCAACACCCCCCTTGCTACAACCTCCTTTCAGGTAGTTGTAGAGAGCAATAAGGTCTCCCCTCAGCCTCCTCTTCTCCAAAATAAACAACCCCAGTTCCCTCAGCCGCTCCTCATAAAACTTGTTCTCCAGACCCTTCACCAGCTTCGTTACCCTTCTCTGGACACGCTCCAGCACCTCAATGTCTTTCTTGTATTGAGGGGCCCAAAACTGGACACAGTATTCCAGGTGTGGCCTCACCAGAGCCGAGTACAGGGGGACAATCACCTCCCTGCTCCTGCTGGCCACACTATTTCTGATACAAGGCAGGATGCTGTTGGCCTTCTTGGCCACCTGGTCACACTGCTGCCTCATGTTCAGCCAGCTGTCAACCAGCACCCCCAGGTCCTTTTCGGCCAGGCAGCTTTCCAGCCACTCTTCCTCAAGCCTGTAGCGTTGCATGGGGTTGTTGTGACCCAAGTGCAGGATCCGGCACTTGGCCTTGTTGAACCTCATACAGTTGGCCTCAGCCCATTGGTCCAGCCTGTCCAGGTCCCTCTGCAGGGCCATCCTACCCTCCAGCAGATCGACACTCCCACCCAGGCTGGCGTCATCTGAAAACTTGCATCTGCAAACAGTCCTGTTGTTGAGCACATTAACCAAAATGGAATGTAATGTGAGTTCACTAAGTTCAGATGACAAGTTCAGGATCAACACACGCACAAGGGTTTAATTTCTACCCATTCATGTAGCTGCAATGTGAATTGTTTGGGTTTCATAATTGCTATTCATGCAGTTTGTGTAATGGTTCTTCTTTCCCCTTAAAAATACAGCGATATGCACACTTGTGCACTAATCTGAGATGCTGATTCTCCTCTTCCACGAAAGGTGGACTCTGACACTGTCCTATGCTAAGCACCATGAGAAGTCAGTTCATCCTTCCCTTCCTGTTTACCCTTATGTTTATCTTCTCTGTTTAGAACTCTGTTTGAAACACAGTCCACCTTTTTACTAGGTTTGTCTTTCAAATGTAAAGCACAGCAGCAGACAGAGCTAAAGGCAGCTGAAGATTTTATCTGCTATTAGAAGAAAAAGGTCTCTTTCTCATCTGTTTTAAGCTTTTCTATTAGTCTTTTTAAATGCCCCTTGATTCTACTGCTAGGGATTTGAAGAGTAACAGTTCTTCATTCAGCCTAGTCAGTGGTCTCATGGTTTTGTAAAGGTCTGTCATATCCCACTCCAGCCTTTACCTCCTCACTCAAGAGATCCTACCTTTTAAAAATAGCTTTCTCAGAATAGCTGTTCCATTCCTTTAACCACTGTGTTGCCATTGTCTGTACCTTTCTTCATTCCACTACGTTCTTCTTGTGTTGCAGAGACCATAACTTCACTCAGTACTCAAGAAGTGTGTGCACCAAGATTCTATGTAGTGGCAAAAACATGCTTTGTCATGTTCTCAGTACTCTTCCTGATCATGCATGGCATTTTACTGGGTTTTTTTGGCTGCCATTGCACTCTGAACTGTTGATTTCAGGAAGTGCTCTGCAATGACCCCAAGGGTTTCCTCCGGAGTTTTAACTGCCCATTCCAAGCTCAGCATCACGTAAGCATGCTTAAATTATTTTATCTTCCTTACATTTATCTACAATGAAGTTCATCTACAGCTTTTTTGCCCACTGCATACATCATCTTATTATTTAAAAAACACCACTGCTAAATTTAAGAAGCTATCTAATTTTAAATTAGCACTTAAATACAAATATCAGCAAATCAAGAACGAACTTACCCTGGCAAACAAAAATTGTAACCATCATGTAGATGCCAAAAGCAAAATGGATGAATTTTGGAGGTACCAGTCCACACTTTCAGTGCACAGCTTAGCTATTGCTGATTCCAGCACCAGACCAGATATATGTGCAGTATTTGGTTTGATACATTTTACTGTAGTAAAAGTCTCTCACTTTGTTTAAATGAAAAGAAATAAAGAAGCAAATGAGTATTTTTAAAAGGAGAGGGTTTAAACCTAATATTTTAATTTTGCTTTAAAATCTACAACTATAGGCAACAGATCATCACCAATTCCTTTGTGATGATAAACACCAGTGAGGAGAACACCACCAGTTCTGGGATGAAAACATGGCCATTTGCTTTGTTTTCCTTAAAGCGTATTCAGTTCTATGTAAAAACTCATCGGCAGTATTTTGGCTGTTGCTCTACTGAACCAGAATTACAGATCATGTAAAAGGAGAAACATGCCCATGGTTATATTGGCACAGAATGTCTGATGCACTGAGAGACCTCTTCTGTGACTGTTTCAGGAATATATTTGGTATTTTGTTAGGAATCTTTGTTGAAACTATTTAACTAAGAGATCACAGTGTTAGGTTTTAAGTTTCTTCTCCAACAATCGTTTTAACTGCTTAAAATAAAATATAAAACTGGGGTGAGGTTAATAGCTGACAAAATCAGAGTGGGTCAGTTTACCTGAAATACTAAAGCAGACCTTCAATATGAGAAAAAATTATCGCCTGTTACTAAGTAATAAAAACAGTCACACACTAAGTGTGCACAGTGCCGTAATTTACATGTTCAGAGGACAAAAATACTAGTCTCTCTAAGAGGGTCAGCAGTAGACAGTACTATACGCAAATCTCTTCTTCAAGACTATTTAAAAGTTACCAACATTT